TACTAAGAAGACAATTTTCTCGTTAAGACAAAAACACTAGTTAAAGGTATAATCGATAAACAGCTGTGAGACTGTGAAAATACTTTAGATCGTTTACGCCGTTTACGGTATAATCATTTGGTGACTAGATTTTCTTTGGGTATAGGTTTTTCTGTGTAAACGTTAGTCACACACACACACACAGACATTGTATTGTACAAACTATTTAAACAACGTTTAGAACTGGTTATATTTTAAATTCTTACACTTAAAAAACTGTTTTATAAAAAAGAAAATGGTATGTATTTTCATTCAGAAACTCGGATTAAACCGGAATTGAAATTGGAAATTGTTCCATAGCTCTTTTTCCGGTTTTTTTCGAACCAAAATTAAAATCAAATTCTATAAAGTATATAACATCAAAATTATATAATAAAATTAGTATAATCATTTTCTCTTTTGTTATTTTTCCGATTCTAAATTTATGTATAGTTATGTAAATCTATTGTTTACCTCGAACTTGATTGGATTAGTTTAGAGTTTATTTTTCTCACTCCATATTAAAAGAAGAAAGATAAACTTTGAACTAGTGCATGCTAATTTATGAGCACATAAAAAACGAATGACCTCATATTATCACTGCATTGCGATTTAAATCTGTGCACGTGTGTACAAAGTACACATATAAAGCATTGTACTAAATAATATATTAAAACTATATTAATTGATTATACATGGTTTGAAAATAAACTAAGATAAATAATGAGCATATACCACTACACTGAATCTTTTTTGTGAGAAATTGTCTTTAATATAATTCAATTAAATTAAATAAACGTTTTTTGGTCATAAATGTGACCATCTTAAAACGTTTTTTGGTCCTGAATGTAAGACGGGGGAGGGGAAATACATGTATTATTGTAGATAAATATTACGAAGAATATCATTACGTCGACGCGCCATCAGAGGTCTATCGGTATTCGCAAAATTCTCTAAGTGCTTTAATATGCGTATATCTCTTTATATAGAATCTCGATCAAACAACTATCTCAGGAGTATAAGGTAGGTTTCTACTACAATACCTTACACAGTGTTGGATCCTTGGATCTAGTATTCTTGAATCACAACAGTGTCGCACTGAGGTGCGTTCAGGAATTATGCTCAGATAACTCTTGGGTGCATTTTTGCTAATATACGTTACGTAAACTATAGCCTATAGTGTTACCTAGGTGTGATTCCTGAACGCAGCCCTGGTGTTGCACTGAATAAAGGTTAGTACTGGCGCCGTCTAGTGTTGCACTCGTATAGTTTAGTGTAACACGAATTCAGTGTTAGTATTGGCACGGCCTACTGTTGCACTTGTACAGTTTAGTGCAACATTCAATGTAGTGGAAGTCGATCGAATTCGCTGTAAGTGACATCCGAAAAAAATCATATAAAAATGAAAAGGTCAAACTATGTAAAAAAAAAAATCCTCAAAAATTTAAACTTTTTTATCTAATAATAATATATTACCATGAAAAGTAACTGATATATTATTATAATTAAAGGTGCCAGTTCAAAGTGAACATATATAAAGTGTATGCAACTTTCAGCCGATTTTCGAATCGTCTCCGCCTTCCGCTGTCCCCCTCACCTCACCGTTCACCGCTCCGCGCGCGGTCGAAATGTCGCTCGACCGTCGTGCATACACATTCTAATATACACACTTATCATTTTTATGTATAAATTCATTTTTAATTTATATCAGAAGGTTTGCGGATTATCGCTGTGTCTTTCTTAATTCTTAATGCCGACGTTTCGTGAACCATGCCGTTCACTTCATCAAGGCGAGAGGTGCACTGATACTGGTATCAGATAATAAGGCATTAAGAATGCAGAAAGATACGGCGATGACCCGTAAATCTTTTGGTATAATACCCATAAAGGCCTCAAATGTGTAATCATTTTTAATTTAAATATTCCTCTACCGCGCGAGTAATCTATAACCGAAAAAAATCTTAAAAACTGTAATTTTTAAAGCTTCGGTTTTCTTTACTAGTCAAGAAATCGGAACACTTATTCAACATTTTATTAAACCGTAACCGGAACCAAATTAAAAAAAATCTTTCAGTTCAAACTCCTGCTTTTATTATTTAACAAACTTTTATGCTGAAATTTTATTATCCTCGAAAGTTTTAAATCGTATATGTATTGTATACAAAATGCAGATTTATATCTTAAAAGTAAAGCAATAACAAAAAGATCAAGTTTATCATTCATATGAAAACAAACTTTGTTGAATGTCTGATTATTTTACGTGACCTTCGCATGAAATGCTTTACAGTAACGTACAAATGTTTAAGATAAGATAACTTACGAATATATAATTAAAGTAAAAGGAAAGAAAAATCTTATTATAAAGAGAATTTTCGCGATATAATTTGGATTATTGTTTTGAAAATAAAGTATCGATGAATAAATCGCATCCTTCAAAAAGAAATATCTATTGTCAATTTAATGTTTTTAATAAATTAATATAGTCACATGTATAGTGTAGCAAAAATTGTGATATAAATAATGAAGAAAAAAATAAGTTTTCTTTAATTATAGCAAAAAATGCGAGTCAAGATTTTTCAAACAAAATGTGATTTATAAAAGAATAAATGTAAAAATAAAAAAATTGATATTATTGATATACTTAATTTCCACTACATGTAATCATTTAAAAAACTAGTACACATGTCATTTATTTTAATTATATGTGATCAATTTAAAAAATTGTATATACATCTGTATATACATATTTTTTTTTAGAAAGAAATATATATAATATATGATATGTGTATGTACAATATACAATAATATGTGTATGAATGTTCATATACGAGTGGTTCACAAATACAAGATCTTTTTTTTTTGTAAATACAAATCAACGTTGATACATGTTTTTATACCGAATGGATGTGCCTATTTAGACCCACATAATTGTGAACTTGCTATAGTTATTTCTATAGTCATTATTTCTTAAACAAATAGACCAAATGTCACTTGCGCCTTTGATAACGTTTTTTCCCGAGCTGTACATACACAATAAATTTGATAAATGCATGAACTTGAACAATGCATTGCGATACTCGGTATTATTTTTTCCGACATAATGTCAGTGACATTACGATAAGAAGTACAAAATAATTAAGAAAAATAACTGCCTACTATGTAGTATATGAATAAACACCTTTATTTTTCGTTTGTCAATATAAGTACATTCACTAATATCGATTTGTAAACTTACAAAAAATCTCATTCATATTTAAATCATTCCCTCGTATATTAAAAAAATAAACGCTCGTCATTATGACAGCACAGGTTGGTATTCGCAAATTCAAACAAATAATATTTAAAAACTGACGTATTATTGGTCTGTATTCTGTAGAGTAAACTAATAAAATTAATTAAATATTTTTTCGTGACGATTTCTACGATATTCAAAAACAATATGTATTGAGCAACATGTTTCCTATTAAATTTTACTTCAAATTGATAAAAATAAAATATTTGATTTGCTAAGAATAGTATATAAGCTTCTTTGTTTATATAGTAATAGTTACTCTAAAGTTAAAAACATTTAAAGAGAGAGAGAGACAAGTTTGATGATATTAAAATATTAAATAAATTGTGATGAGGATGCGCTTATGAATATAACAATTTTGAAAACATTTTTAGTAGAAATGGACTAACAATAAGTGTATTATAGCAGAATAAATTTATTTTGAAGAAGACTAAAGGATTTCTCACTAATCATATGGGAAAATTTGTGTGTGTGCATGCGCGCGTGTGTATGTGTGATTTCAATTAAATTAAAACTAGGACATTTTGTGTAATTTTTGAGATAAAAAGTCTCTATAAGCGCGCGCATGATTATCATAAATGAACAGATTTTGCTGTAGCACTATTTCAAAATTATTATTTTAAATTAAATTATACTAGAGAGTATCTTTATGTACAGAGTTATGTTACAATATTTATTTTGTTAACTGCATAAGCATTTATATAGTTAAACACGTATATGATATAATCATACATGTGTCTATATTATTAAAAAGCAGATTTATGTCCTAGTATATGTACGCGAGAAAAGAAATGGAATAGATATATGGAATAGCACTTAGAGAAAAAAAGTGAGAAACTAGAAATTTGAGGACAAACAGCGTCTCAATTATATATAATATTATAAAGTTGTAATAAGAACAATAAATAAATTATATAAACTAAGAAAATATAGTGATGTTAACCATTTTATAAAATAAATAGTTAATATTATATCTTCTTAGTTCATTTAATTTATTTATTACGCTTTTGAGGCTTTCACGGGTATTATTTATTGTTCTTATTAAAATTTTATAATACTGTATGTATCTGCGTATTGCAAAGGCCATTCTATTAATATATTTGACATTATTATGCAGACATTATTATGCAGACATTATTATATGTGTAGTACAAACACAAATATATGGTTAAATATATAAATGCTTATATGTATAGTTAAAAAAATTATATATTAATGCTTATATGTACAGTTAACGATGTGTAACCTAAATAAAGTTTAGGAAATAAATTAATAGTAAATTTTCTTTTCCGTTTAATTAGATTAAAAATAACAATTTTCAAATGATGCTACAGCAAAATCTGTAAATCCATTTTTTAATAATTATTGAATTATTTTCTTTTGATTAAAGAAAGCATTTTATATATTGTAAAATATCACAATTTCAAACTTTCAACTAATTTAACTAAAAACATTTTCATATAAAAACATACAATTGGTGCGGGATCATTCTTAATAAAATTTATATTTTTTTGCAATTACATATTAATCTGTATATTTTTGACCTCTAACGTATTTCTGAAGCTTTCGTCGATTGCTTTGTAAATCGTGCAAAACGTCACAGACCAGTTAATGTTTCTTTTTTCTTATTTAGTACGGAGGAATTTGATTTAAATTGACAAGCGCGGTATCTTAGCGCCAGTTACTCGCAATGAAGCACATGATTATCCTCGTTCTTGCTATTGCAGCGACAAGTAAGTATAAGACACGCACACACATAAACACACATATATATATATATATGTGCATACATTTTGTATAAATAAATATATACTAAAAGAAAAAAGGTAGCAATTAAATTTAATACAATTTAAATAAAATTTATAATAATTTTTGGGAACAACTATATATGTATTTACAATTTGTTGTTTAACCATGTAAACAGAATCAATTGCACTATTAATGTAGTCACACTGCATGAAAACCTTCAGTTTTTTTAAGTATGTCACATCTCAAAATATTGCTAAAAATTATTATTACTACATAAATAGTAAGCGAATGTTAAAAAATAGTAATTGAGATTACATGTACAGAATAAAAACGTTAATTTTATTTATAATTTTTATTTTGATATTTTATTATATTGTAATAATATTTATAAAATTATCATAATTTACTATACAATTGTTTCATGTTTAAGAGAACTATACATGTAAGATTATTGTCAAGGTTGGGAAGTAAACGCATTACATACGCTATTTCGTTCGTCAGTTTTCGATAACGAATAACTTATAAAATAACGTTCCCAACGTTTTCTACATAACATTAAAGCAGTAATAATCACAAAAAATATCAAATACATTTCACTCAATATATATATATATAAAAAACAAAAAACATATATATAGTATATATGTATTTATTTTGTTTATTTGATTTTTAATTTAATTATGCATAATTCCAAAATTATTCTTACATGTTTCGGCTCATTTTTGAGTCTTCTTTCTAAGAAATTCTGGGAAATTATTTCCCAGCATTCTATTTATTAATTTTTCTTTTCTGCCTTTATTGGTCATATTATTGTGTTCTTTAAGATGAAATTGTCATCATCTGATTTTATTTCTCGGTTGTGGGGGAGCTCGCGGTGTTTAAACATTCTTTAATCTGTTGTCAACTTTAAATTATATTTTATTTATGTAATTTTTTATTGTCTCTGAAGAAGGCTCAAAAATGAGCCGAAACATGTAAGAATAATTTTTGTAATAAATAAGTTTTGCTTGATAAATATCAGCGTTTACGTAAAGTTATCTGCGCCTAGTGCCCTTTTTCTTTCCAAGTTAATTTTGAATTGTACGGGAGTTTTTGTTATCAAAGAATTATTATATATTAAATTCAACAATCTATTAAGACTGTTGAAGTTTAGATATTACCAACGAGAAATACTTTAATAAGTGTAATTTATTAAAGTATACTCTTTTAAAGTATAATAGTTAAACATATTTTAAATAATATATTTACCTATTTCAATATTTAAATAATATATAATCGAGGTTAGCAACGTTATCTTATAAAAATAACTCGTTACCGTTACTGTTCTTTTTCCTAAAAAATAACTTGTTCCCGTTACTCGTTATTGATTTGCAAAAATAACTCGTTACTGTTATCGTTATATACTTTTTTTCTTGACGCTAATAGAATATTATGTGCAGATTTTTTTGATAAATGTAAAAAAGATATTAAAATTATAACAAATTTAAAGAAAACTCTCGAAAATTTCAAATAACAAGAATAATAAGGCTAATGAGAGCTATTCGCTGTTGTTAGTGCGATCATATATAAGATATGTTAAAGTGTGAATATTATATACTACGTAAGTAGTTCCCCCCCATTGCGCGCCGAACATCCGTCGAACTTAAAACGCAAATCTAATTAACTACCGTAGTAATATCACAATTTTTGATGCTTATAGCATCTGAAAATGGATCTTAATAATATGTTGAAAGACATATTAAAATCTTAAATTATAATATTGAAGAAGAAATAAATTGAAATCTAAGAAAAATAAGAATTGTGAAGAATATCACGAGTTGGCGTTTCGTCCCGGCTTCCACTACTAGACTCATCAGTAAGGTAATGTAGTGGGAGCCTACCTTAGACGCCTGGGAAAGATGTTAGAAAGAAGTTCTATATAAACAAATAATCATGTAATTCAGCACTTGCTGAATATAATATTCACACTTTAACATATCTTATATATGATCGCACTAACAACAGCGAATAGCTCTCATTAGCCTTATTATTCTTGTTATTTGAAATTTTCGAGAGTTTTCTTTAAATTTGTTGAATATACGCTGGCTGCAAGAAGCGTTTGATACTTTCAAATTATTATTTAAATAAAGAACTTTGTGAAGAATATCACTACGTCGACTTGCCAACAGAGGTCTATAGTTAATCGTGTCATTTCTCGCAAGTGCTGAATTACATGATTATTTGTTTATTTCTAACTTCTTTCTAACATCTTTCCCAGGCGTCTAAGGTAGGCTCCCACTACGTTACCTTACTGATGAGTCTAGTAGTGGAAGCCGGGACGAAACGCCAACTCGTGATATTCTTCACAATTCTTATTTTTCTTAGATTTCAATTTATTTCTTCTTCAATATTATAATTTAAGATTTTAATATGTCTTTCAACATATTATTAAGATCCATTTTCAGATGCTATAAGCATCAAAAATTGTGATATTACTACGGTAGTTAATTAGATTTGCGTTTTAAGTTCGACGGATGTTCGGCGCGCAATGGGGGGGAACTACTTACGTAGTATATAATATTAAAATTATATTTTTTAGTAGATAAATAGAGCTAAAAAAATGTATATATATAGGTATATATAATTATTAATTGAATGAAGATTTATATGCATATGTATACATACATATGCATATAAATCTTCACGGTATACCTATTTAATTTCTTAAAATATAAAAATTACAAAAAATAGAGTATATTGTACGATTATTTTATTCTTGTCGTTCACCAAATATTAAAGTAAGATAAAATAATACATCATGCGTATAATGCGTAAAACGGAACGCAGGCTATACGTGTGAATTGTGAATACAATGTGAAAAATGCGTCGTGATTACGTGATTAATCAGACCTATTCCTTTAACGTCTCCGTTTTCTATAGCTCTAGTTATGACTAAAATTTTTACGTGACTAGAAATAAAGTAACGATAAAAGTAACTAGTGAAATCGTTACCATTACCCCAAAAATGTTGCGTTACCATGAACGTTACTTCTAAAAAAATGTAACGTCATTATCTATTTGTTACCGAAAAAAGTAACTTAATAACAGTAATGACTTACGAATAATGCGTTATCCGTCAACCCTGATAATATTAAAGTAATATATATTTCTATAAAATATAGGTCTTTATCATATTTCCAATTTAAATAACTTTTCTAAACATTTCACATTTTTCTCTGGCAAAGTATTTGCAAGCTATTAAAAAATAAGACTTGTTCTAAAAAGTTTTGCTGAGTCTTTCAATTCAAATTTCTGTAATTCTTTGCATTCTACTTTAAAATTTATTAATATGCTTTTCTTATTAATATCTGCTCCAGACATAATACATAGATAATATCAATTAATATTCTTGCTCCAATTTTACGCACATTCGCTAAATATTGGCCTACATTTATGTAAATAATTATGTCAAGTGTATGTTTACTCGTGCGCGCGTGTAATATTAGCGTACATTGGTATACATTAACTATATGCTCTGGAGCTGCCTTTAATAGAGCAGGTTTTTCGACATAATTATTCCAATCTTATTATAATTTAATTATTATTTCGTTTGTTTTCTAACAACTAACAATTAATATAATGGCGAAAATAACAAAATTTCTGCGATTCTAAATAGAATAATACAAATGAATACACTTTCAATATTAAAAATAACAACAACACAATCAATGAAAATAATTCTCATTGCTAAAAAATTAATTTATTAGAAAAGTTGACCGAAAAGTTCTTGCATGACAACCAAATTATTACAATGATAAAAAACATTTTTTTGTGACAATAAATACTATTTGTGTCAGGGACAGAGTAAAAAAAACGTCTTATCCATAATTATATATATCTTATCTTTTTCTCAAAAGAACTAAGAGAAGTTGAAGAAAGTTTCCTGCATTCTCTCTTTCAGTCTAATTTAGCGACGTCTTATGACTCTAACTTGCTAAACTGATTTTTAACGAATAATGAACAATTTATTAACAAGATATTATTTTTAACATTCCTAAATTACGTTCTATAAATCGATACTGGCCACGGGTTAAACAGATACTTCGAAAAGAAAGGAAAATATATAGAAAATTTAGAAACGTCTCGGAAATTTACGAAGTAGTAAAAATGTAAAAAAAATTTACAGTGCAAAAACTAACGAGCAGCATTAAATTAAAAATTTTATTTTTCCCAGAAAATATTTAATAAAAATCTAAGAATGTATTTTTGTAAAATGTGTGTGAGAGTACTAATACTGTCGAGTCTAAAAACTTATTCTATTCAATTGGTTTTAAGTTACTGATTATATCAAAAGTTATGCAAACTTTCTAGGACAAGCTTTACAATATAATATTTCTCGAGTTACTATTTTTAAACGAGATTGTGGAATGTTACATTCTTATTGTTAAGTAAACTTTTGTTATTTTTTAAAGACTTTTAAACTATTGTACATAATTTTATTTTCATATGTATAATATATGTATATATATATGTATATTTAGTTAATATTACCAAACGGTATTATCAACGGTAATACTTACTAAATTTAAAAGATAAAATTATGTTTGGTAATATTATACCTAAACATTTGAAATTATTTTATTTAACATCTGGTGGCTATAACCAATTATACTTGTATGTTATAACCACACTTTCGTCAGTGCATAAAGTCTCGAAATTATAACCATATCATATTATGTATATATGTATAAATATACGTAAAAAAAAGCTGTAATAATGAATAACTTGAGATACGAGACAAATTTTTGCATTTAATTATCTTAACTTTATTGAAACTTAAAAAAAATTGTCTTGTTAAAAAAATTCTCTTATAAAATATTTAATTATAAAAGATAATATTAAATTTTATCTTCTAAAAAATATTTTTTTACGTCACTTTTTAATTCTTATTCTTAAAAAATAATAAGTTAATATATTATATATCTTTCATGTCATTATATTTTATTAATTTGTAAATCCTTGAGTGTTTAGTTTAAAAGAAATATACGTATAATATATTGTATAATAAATATAAACTAAATAAAGGACTCTTTCTTTAAAAACAAAATAAACATAAAAATGGCATTGTAAGAGTCAAAAGAAAAGAAAATTAACAACAAATTAATACATATATTCTAAATTAATGAACTTATAAAATTAACCTAAATATAACATTAAATAACAAGTGTTAATTAGATAACTAGTTTCGACCACCAAATCTGGTCCTCTTCAGATGGAACACTTTACGTTGAAATATACAAAATTATGGAAAAACATCAATACATATTGTATAATAAGATGTGCAAAAAGTACGTGATAACTTTTTCCACTTTATTTAACAATTTTAGAATTTATTGATATCTATATAGATATGTATATTTTACTGGCGTAGAGCCATTCTTTTAATTTCTATAGAAGTTCCATTAACAGAATGGAATGCAGAGAAATGTGAAAATGCGTAGGATAGACAGGTAGGGGAATAAAAGGCCACTTTTGAGATTTTTTGCTATAAAATAAAGAATATTTAATTCACACAGATCGCGTTGATATTTTTCGAAACTAGAGACCTTTGGCTACAAAATACATGCAAGATTATAGTATGCATATATACCCTTCATTACAAAGATATCGTAAATTTTGCAGAGGAAGTCACTCGGCACTTTTTACCCCATATGCGGGGCAAGAAGGTCCACATAATGGGGTAAAAAGTACCAATACTTCTACATTTGTTATGTAGGTACAAATAGTAAAATATAAGATTATTTTTAATAAAAATACAACTGAAAGTCTCTCGGTAATTATTCAGAATGCTGCTTCGCCTCTGATTTCGATTATATTAAGCTCATTCGACGCGTTTGTGTCGCTACACTTCATCGCTTTGACAAATTTTCTAACCTTAATAGGTTAGCTTTAACGCGTAATATCTCAGTTCGCAGGGCCGATCCAACGTTTTTTCTTACAAATTCTTTCGTTTCGTACAAAAACACGTTGAATAAGCCTAATTTCATCAAAATCGGAGATGAAAATCGCATTCTGAGTAATTATCTGTCTTTTGCGTAACGAATACCACTAATGCTGATTCTACAATGAGTCGATAAAATCGGAAGTAATCGGTAATGTTTCGTACTGTTGGCTATTGGTCAACTTCACTGATAAGACTTAGGATTATCGACTTGTTACACTATAGAATCAACATTAACGAACACAGAACAACCATGACACTTTTACCCCAACAAGGTAAACTTTGCGGCATTATTATTAAAAAACTATAATAGTAATAACCATTTTAATAATCACAAACGATAGAATAAGATTAATAAATACACTTATTTAATCTATCTAGGTGCAAAAATGATCCCTTCAGATCAAAATAACTGCAACGCTAATAGGTTTCTTTTGGCTCTCAAACACATGGCCACATCCGTGAAAACTTCCGGGCGGTTATTAGCAGCAGGTAGCAACGAACTGTGTGACATAAGATTATCACTCTTAGTTAACAAACTGTGTGATGGAATTTTCTAGTAAATGCGTTATTATCGAGATACAAGGGGTGGACTTTTTTCTCCAAGGACTTTTATTACTCCCCGGTCTACCCTACGCGTAATGTGATGATAACGTTGAAGAAATTAATCAAGTATATTTTTTAATGGACTCTTTTTAGTTGAGTCAACTAATGGCTGCAAAGTCAAACGCCGATCGGAAGAGCAGGAAGCAGATGATGGATATTATTGCGTTTGCAATATGACGTATTGCGACGAAGCTCCAAATGTGAGCAGGACTTCCAATCAAGCTAAATATTTCCTGATAACATCTAGCAAAAGTGGTTCGTTCTTCCACGTATCGAATGGTGTATATAAAAAGTCTGTTAAAACTCACAGTAAGTATTGAAGTTGTTTTCTTGAAATATCGCAGTCACTAAGCCCGGTATTCACAGTCGATTCTCTATTTAAGATTGTCCTAAGTATAATCTTAAGATGTCATGAACCAATCAGAGAACCATATTAGCATCTTAAAATATTACTTAAAATGATCTTATAATAAGAACGAACTATGAATATCGGCCTAAAAACTATTCGTAGTTTAAAGCAGTTTATCATAGTGTCATCTAATGATTAAACTTGTGTTTACTATATCTCAAATGCTTTATAATAAAGGATCAGCCCGATTAGGAAAGATCACTGTAAATCGAAAGAATATATATCAAAGAATCTATGGATTTGGTGGAGCTGTAACCGATTCAGCAGCTATAAACATTCATGAACTAACGCATGAGGTGTCCGAGTATTTGTTAAGGTATCATAAATCGTTTAATTTTAAAAGAATTTTGCTAATTCATTCAACACAATTAATATGTCTAAAAAATATGTAGCGACTTTCCTTGTGTGTGTGTGGCGTGTGTGCGCGCGCGCATGTGTGTGTGAAAGTTAATTTCACATTTAATTTCAAAATTCTAGAAGCTACTTTGGTCCACATGGTATCAATTACAATTTCATAAGAACGCCAATGGGTGGCTGTGATTTTTCAACGAGACCTTATACTTATGCAATGGTAGAAAACGACACTTCACTTCACAACTTCGATTTACAAATAGAAGATTACCTTTACAAGGTTTAGTCATTAATTAATTAATATTTTGTTTATTATATCTGATAAAACATAATTTATTTTTTTCGGATATCAATAACCATATCAAAAAATGTTTGTGTTTCTAAAATTAAGGATGTGTTACATCAAAAAATATAGAACGTCTACGTCACAGGGACAAGTGTTTGGACAGTGAAGTCGAAATAAGACTTCAAGAGCTTAAAATTTTCGTTTTTATATGTAGTTTAAGGAAAAATGTGGTGTTTTTAAAAATTCAAAGCGGTTGCTCCAATATGGCGATTAGAATGAATGAAAAACTTATAGAACTTATTGAAACATTTATTTAATTGATCATGAAAACATTTATTTAACTGATCAAGTGATCAAAAATTCATTAAATTTTCATGAAAGTCGATATTTGTGGATTTTTCGAATCACTCATGAACAATCCGTAGTCATATTTCCAAAATTCGAAATGACGAATCCAGTATGGCGGCTGTATTGAATAAAGAACTGACTGGAATTCTAAAATCATTAATCTAGCTATTAGTCCAAAATTTATTCAATCCTAAATATCTTTTTTTTACTCGAAAACTCTTATTCTTCGGAATAAAGATCCGAGAAAAATCAATTTTGGATCACATGATTAAGAATTTAAGCGTTTCAGTCAATCTTCTACTGCAGTCGTCATATATTGCATCCGCCATTTTAAATTTGGGAAATCTGATTGCGGATTATTTATGAGTGACTCAAAAAACTTTCACATTTCAATTTTTAGAAATGAATAAATTTTGGACTACTAGATTAATGATTTAAGAATTCCAGTCAATTTTTCATTCAGTACAGCCGCTATACTGGAGATCCATCAGTTCGAATTTTGGAAATATGATTAGCCCGGACTACAATAGTCATAAGAAATGGACGAATCACAGTCAATTATTCTCATCGCATTTGACTGGTCAATTTCTAATTGGTCAATTTCTTACGGCATAAGGTTTAAAACATTTATTTGTAGATCCGGACTTATGGATTGTTCATGAGTGATTCAAAAAACCCATAAATACCGATTTTCAAGAAAATTGAACGAATTTTGGACCACTTGATCAATGAAATAAATGTTTTTAATAATTTCCGTAAGTTTTTTATTCATTTTATTCTATTGGAGCAGCTGCTTTGAATTTATAAAAGCGCCATGTTTTTTCTTAAACTACATATAAAAACGAAAATTTTAAGTCCTTGAACGTTTTATTTCGACTTCACGTACAAATTTTGTTCAGATACTTGTCCCCGTTGATGTGTGGAATGTCCTATATACAATTATGTGTATATGTGTGTGTATGTGTGTGTGTATATAT